AAATTATTCACAAACCAATCTCATTTTCTTTTTTATTGATCAATTTGTTGATGTTGTTTTTGTTTGACAGACATCGCAGGATTCCTGATCCTTATCCCTCAATATCGTTCGTTTGGGTGCACTCGTTTCGGCCTCCATGGCCAGCCAAGGCTGGCTACCAGTCAGCTGATAATCGAGTTGTCTTAACTCTGGGTATGAAGGGACTCTACATCAGGAATCGTTCTCCGAGAGCAGCATCTCATGAATGCAGCATACAGATGGAAATTAAGCTTGTTTCATGGCTTTATTTAAACAACTTGTGCTCTAAATTTATCGTTGAAGTGACAAATGGTGTGTATTACTGTACCCGAAAGCCTAGCGTAGAAACTTTGAGCACCTGTCTCAGTGTGAGCGGTCCTTTGTTGCGGTCAAAGCTGCTCATTGATGACAGTTTCTCAAAGGAAAAGTCTTCGATGGATCAAGAAAAATCGTCTCCCTGAAATAGTAATTCACACCCTTTCTTCATGACAATCTCAAAATTTAGTCCTCGCCCTAAGTTTGGGACCATTTCTCAGTATTATCCTAAGTGTTGCGGTGTCATCAGAAGTGCACAATTTCTGTAGGATCAGTTCATGGTATGATTTGGAATATTTTAATTACCACTTATCTCGGTATGTGACACTGCAGACTTCCTGTCATATTTAATTTTCTAAATGGGAAACCACTTGACGGAAGGTTTTAAAAACTGCCGTGATTTTTCTTCTCTTTACGAAGAAAATCCTGCAGGAACTTCAAGGAATGATGTCGATTTTTACTCTTTTATTAAAAGAATATAGGAGCTGAGATTTTTAAACACTGTAAGAAGTTTCAACCATACCTGCTCTGCAAAGATAATTTGAATTCAAATCATCCTATGAATAGAATACCATGCATTCGGAAGGGGTGAGCACTTGAGGTTTCATTTGCCTGGGGAGGCGCCTTTCAAATTCGCTGCCAAAGGGACTCTAGCAATATCTGGCAAATGGAAGGTACTGTCCTAGTCCAAAAAATGTAAAGAAAGCCTAACCACCCCCTGGGCTCGATGTAGTTGCTGGCTTTTTCCCCCATTTCTGAATTCTTATTTGAGGATGCCTACTGGATCTTAACTTTCACAGAAGACGGAGTCAATGCTGAAACAGGAAAATTTAAGTTGGAAAGTCTGAGAAGTGGATCCGTACCTCAAAAGTCTGAAGCTTCACCTTTATTCCAGCCCAAAGAGATGGTTATAGAAACATTCAAATTTTCAAAAGATGTTGACCTAGGGCAGCAGAGAAGGAACAAGCAAGGTCAAAGGTTCAACCCGATACAGGGAGAAATGGCATTGATTATTGCTCTGTTTAGAAAAAAAAAAGTTTAAAAACTTGCTTTGGATGTTTTTCACCCCTCTCAGGGAAAAAGAACAGATATAAATTAAGGTATCAAAGAAAAACAGTGACAATAATGGGCGGCGCTTCGTTCGAGGAAATTTTGAGTGACATTTAGTGCTCACAGCACTCATAAAAGCGTTCATAATGACATTTTTGAAGGTTTATCCAAACGTGAAAGACCATTAAAATCTTCTTGACATGACTTGGAAATAATTTTAATGAAATTTCAATGCACATTTCAAAGATTTAGAAAACCTGTGATGATGATTGATTTTAAATGATTATGAGCTTTGAGTTAGACCAAGAACAACAAAAGACACATCTGAGCAGCCTGATTGTTGAAATATTTTGTTTGTTGGGACGGCATAGATGACATAGGTTAAAAAACCGAGCAAGATTAGTCGGCTATGTCTTATCCCTGCTTTGTTGTGCCTTTGTCAGGTGGAATGGACAACATTCTGTCGGAAACTTAAGAAGTGCCGTTACCTTGTCGTGAGTTCAACTTGATATAGGCACGACAAAGCAGCAGTAAGACATAGCCAACCCATCACGCTCCGCCTTTAAACCGATGTCATCTATGTCGTCCCGACAAACAAAATATATTTCAACAATCAGGCTGAAATCACATGATTCATTTTGTTCCCTATAATATCCTTAGAGGAATGGTAAAGAAAATCATTCGGAGTCCGGTTAACACTCACTAGGAAAGATTTATTCACATCAAGGAAATACATATTAAATCTTGACTAATACCTATATAGATAAACCATGAAAGAATTATTAAAGAATGACATCGAATGCGTCATCAGTATAAGTCATTAGATAATTTTTCTTGATCCATCGAAGAATTTTTCTTTTGAGAAACTGTCATCAATGAGCAGCTTTGACCGCAACAAAGGACCGCTCACACTGAGACAGGTGCTCAAAGTTTCTACGCTAGGCTTTCGGGTACAGTAATACACACCATTTGTCACTTCAACGATAAATTTAGAGCACAAGTTGTTTAAATAAAACCATGAAACAAGCTTAATTTCCATCTGTATGCTGCAGTCATGAGATGCTGCTCTCGGAGAACGATTCCTGATGCAGACACTTGTAGATACAGAACTGAAATGTAAACTTTTGATTATTACCGAAGTAATTGTTTATGATGAAAAAGTAACACTGCTAAAGCTGAGACTTGAAGGAGAGGCACAATTAAATCCTCTTCGAGGAAAAAAAGCAGATCAAACCGACGAGCTACTTGGCTTCAGCTTCAACCATTAGGAGCGAAAGGAACAATGAAGAAACGCCATAAACTTCAGAAACTGAAGTGAAAAGGTATTAAGACGACACTGATTGAAAGACGAAAAACCATTTTAGGTCACAAAAGATGATTTTAAATTGAAAATTCGTCAAATTTCAGATCGAGAACTGCTGGTGGCTATTTGCAATGTTTTCTCTTTGAGGTTAGGTTAGGTACAGCTTTTTTTTTGAGACTTGATTCAAATTGAAAGTAAAAAAACAGAAACATGGTAGGTGTAATATATCAATAGCTTTGTAGTCGCTTTGAGAAGAACTTCAGAGAGGTTTCCACGAGAAATTTTCTTTCAAACTAAAGAAAATTGAGGAAAATTGCGAGCCAATTAAAAGCCGGGAAGGCTGGTGGCACCGATGTGTTGCACCGGTGAAACCGATGCGAACGATGCACTGATGCTCCGCGGTCAGAGTTGTGCGCAAGTTTTTTTACAAACGGACCTTCATAGAGGAGGCTGTTTGCGAGGAGAGCCACCACTGAAGTTTGAGCGCTGTTTGGTAGGAGATTCTTGTGTTACAACTTGAATTTCATGCCGCAATCAGACGCTGAATTTAGCACCTGAATGTGGAAGTCAACAGTCATCGCCCAACGGCTGAAATTTAGCAAATTCGAGTTATTTTCATCCAGATGTGTATTAAATCCACTCGAATAGTTCAGACAAATTCAAAATTGGTCCGATGGTTGCTGAGAATCGTTGCTGAATTTTGCGCGTCACGCGCAAAATTCAGGCATCGGGCCGATGACTTCCACATTCAAGCCACATTCAGCTCCCACATTCAGCGTGTGATTGCGGTGTCATCAAGAAATCTTATTCGACGAGGTTGTACTGAGGAGGTAGAGTTGGAGTGAAAAGGTAGAAGTTGGTCGATGTGACGTTTATGTTGAGTGCCTTGATGATCAACATAATAATGAAGTTTGCCTAGTTTAACTGCGATTGTACCCTTTAACCACTTGATTTTTGAATTATATGTTCGAAAAAGAACCGTATCTCCAGCTTGGAAAGAACGAAGAGAACCTTTTGGAGAGGCTTGACTTGAAACAGACGGATTCTTGAGGTCTATTGAGGAGGAGCATTCTTCGAGATTTTCCTCTGTAGGACTGAAGTGTGATTCAGAGAGTGGTGAGATGATGTCAAGTTTTGTTCTTATGATTCTGCTTAAGAAAAGAGATGATGGAGGAACTTTAGTGGTTTGATGAGGAGCACGATGATAGAGCATTAAAAATTTGTTTAAGCAGAGCCGAAGTGTCTTTGGAGTAGCATTCATAGCTTTGAGAGCTTGTTTCACTGATTGCACATATCGTTCTGCTTGTCCGTTTGTACTTGGGTGGTAGGGTGCGATTCTTCTGTGGAATCTTACCCCTTGATTGGTGAGGAAGGATTGGAATTCAGCGGAAGTGAATTGAGGACCATTATCCGTTACAAGTATGTCTGGATTTCCAAATTCTGCGAAGGAATCAAACAACATTTCAGAAGTTTTTTCAGTAGTTGTTTTTTTTTTTTTTTTATTGTTTATTGTCGCAATAAATTACACAGTTATGAAATACACTTACAGTAAAAGTGCGTAATATATAGATATTAAAGAAAACAATAATGATTTGGACTATAATACATATTAAGGGGAAAGTTTTGCTGAATAAATAAAATAGAATAAGAAATAAGTGGTAATGAAAATTACTGGAGTCAGCAAGGGTTATTGTTAGCGACGCCGGAATCCGCCAGTTGGCATGCATCAGCAAATATCTGTTTATCTATTATTTCTTTTTTGTTTGTGAGGACGGTTTTAATATATGTACGAATTTTGGACCAATTTTCCTTGGAATCTAATAAACATTTTTGAAAATTTACGGTGGTGAATGTCTTTTTAATTTCTGTCTCAAGAAGATCTCTCTCTGAATTAAATTTATTACACAAGAAAATAGAGTGCTCTGGAGTATCGAGAGCATCAGGGCAGTACGGGCAGAAGGGGGATGGCGATATTTTCATACGGTGAAGGCAGCTTTTGAAAGCGCCATGTCCAGTTAGAACCTGCGTTAGGAAGAAATTTAAGTCGCC